TAAACTAAACTAAACTAAACTAAAATTAACATCACTGCAATTTAAATGGATGGCATGTCTTTTCAACCTATAATCATTTCCCTTTCTAGAAGTTAGCTCTTTTGTTGGATTAGCAAGACATTCCCAATGGGTGGGTAGGGGAAGATTCAGTCTGGAAGGTCCTTGGTGCTCTCAGAGCTTGATGGTTTTCTTGCAAATGTTTCATTACCCAAACTAGATAACATGCATCAGTGCTGATGCTGTAACCCAGTTTGGAAATAAATGCAATAGCGTTGGGCTTCAAAAACTTTAGCAAGGGGTTCTCTGCCTGGTTGCTGGATGGGCGTGGCCTATTTGGCCTCCTGAACCATGGGGGGGGGGGTTGCCCTCCCTGGGCTACGGAGGGTTTCCTGGAGCCTCCAGGAGGGTGAAAACAACCTCCCCATGCTCTGGAGGCCAGAAACAGACCTTCCCAAACTTCCATTAGGCCCGTTTTTCACCCTCCCAGAACCTCCGCATGGGCCCTGCACTTACCTGCATCCAAAATGGACCGCATGGGGACTCTTCGGAAGGACAGGGTAGGTGGGGCCAGCCAGGAGTGGGATTTGGGAGTTCTCCGAACTGCACAGAATCTTAGCTAGCGGTTCTCCCAAACCCCCAGTAGCCCACCCCTGGTCTGCAAGAAAACAACCAAGCTCAGAGAGCACCAAGGACCTCTCAGTTCAACCCTGAGCTACAAATATTCTCCTTTTAAGATCCAGTCTGATTTCCTCCTGGAATAATCTTTTTAAGAACGGTTTTTAAATGGCTTTCTGGAGCTCAGCGGGGGATGGCAGGAAGGATGAGAAGGCTTCTGTCCCTCCAGTTGGAAGTCAAAGGTTGGGAGCAAAGCACAATGCAGATGTGTGGGTAACATCCAGCTGTGGGGAGGGACCTGGGGTCATCACAATCTATGATGCATTTCTGATGTTTGTCAACTACTGCCGTGAAAGCACTAAAGGAGCTTGTCATGGCAAACACAAATCGTTTCTCCTCTGGGTGTTTCAAAGGTGCTTTTCCCAAAAGGCAACTGGACTTTGTTCTATTTCCTTGAAAACGTTTTGCCTCTCATCCAAGAAGCTTCATCGGTTCTAACTGAATGGTGGGAAATGGAAGGCTCTCTGTTCTTTGCAGTTAGAACTGGAGAAAGATCTTGAATGAGAAGCAAAATGTTTCCGAGGAAAATAAACAAGAAAGTCCAGTTGCCTTTTGGAAAAGCACTTTGGGACCACCTGGATGGTGGAGAATCTCCATAGACATTTTCTCCTCTGGGTGGTGCTTACGTCACGCTTTTATTATTCCTACTCTATCATCCAAGTCAACATGGGGCTGTTGTCTTCAAGAACTCAACTCAATGCTCTCAATCCCATCTCCCAGCCCTAGGAAATGACCTTCCATCAGCACACGGATGACATCTCGGAGAATGTTCAGTGTTGTTCCAAGGACCAGGATGGAAAACACAAAGGTACAGATAGGATCCACGTATTTATATTTTGGCTAGAAAGAGAAGAAAATAATCAGTGAGCCCTCTCTTCAATCAAGGCCTGAATCCCCTTCTAGGCTCTGCTTGGCCTTTACTTCACCAGTGAGTCACAGCTGACATGGTTAAGTGAATTTGGCTTCCCCATTGACTTACCTTGTCAGAAGGTCACAAAAGGTGAACAGATGACTCTGGGACATTCAGTTGCCAAATGTCCGAACTTTGATCAGTTAATCATGGGGATGCTGCAACGATTGTTAAGTGTGGGGAAAAACTGTCGTAAGTCTTTTTTTTTTCAGTGCCGTTGTAACTTTGAACGGTCACTAAACAAATGGTTATAAGTTGAGGACTACCTGTAATGTCCTACAGAGTACTGGTCTTGTTGCCTACTCCCTCAAATTAAAGGTGTGGGAAGGAGCCTCAACACTCTTCAATAATCCAACAAGGTGAATGAGTTTGATTTAACTACCATGTTTCCGAAAAAATAAGACAGGGTCTTATTTTCTTTTGACATTTGAAATAAGCGCTTGGCCTTATTTTCAAGGAGGTCTTATTATTTTTGAGGTGCAGGAGGTGGCGAGTGTTGTCACCTCATGCCTGCTGCTGTGTTGCAATATTTTCAGGGAGGGCTTATTTTTGGGTGGGGGCATATTTTAGTGCACGCACTCAAAAGCCCAATTGGGCTTATTACCCGGGAGGTCTTATTTTCAGGGAAATAGGGTAGCTAGATACGTATTTCCACTTCTTGCTTTAAGCTTGTGATCCACTAATTAAGATTACAATGAAAGATAGAACCTGGTGGTTCCATAAAGTTGTTGGGAGACTATTCTATGATGGATGTGGTGGCTCAGTGGATAAGATGCTGAGCTTGTCGATCAGAAAGGTCAGCAGTTTGGTGGTTCACATCCCTAGCACCACTTAATGGACTGAGCTCCTGTTACTTCTCCCAGCTTCTGCCAAACCTAGCCGTTCGAAAACACGTAAAAGATTCAAGTAGAAAAATAGGGACCAATTTGGTGGGAAGGTAACAGTGTTCCATGCGCCTTTAGCGTTTAATCATGCCAGCTACATGACCACGGAGACGTCTTCGGACAGTGCTGGCTCTTCGGCTTTGAAACGGAGATGAGCACCGCCCCCTAGTCAGGAACCATTAGGACATATGTGCCTTGTTTACTTTGTTCTATGATTGAGAGAGAAAAAAATATCTCTGTTGGAGCTCTTACCTTGAAGTAAATTATGATGGCGGCCACCAAGACTCCAATGCTTTGCACAAGATCTCCAACGACATGGATAAAAGCAGCTCGCACACTAGTATTATGTGTCCCCTCCTTATGACTGTGATGGCTATGACCATGTCCTGATTGGTGTAAGATAATGCCCATCCTACAGAAACATATTAATAAAGAGCCAGTTGTAAGCAGAACATTAATTAAGAGGCTGGAACTGAACCAAGAAAATAAGATTTCCTTTTTTAAGATTGACCAGACAAGGAGACCAATGGCATGTAGTTCAGTGCTACTTTTGGTACAGGTAGTCCTCGAGTTACGACCAGACTTGAGCCAAAAATTTATGTTGCTAAGCAAGACATTTGTTATGTGAATTTGGCTCCATTTTACGACCTTTCTTGCCATCGTTGTTAAGCGAATCCCTGCCATTGTTAAATTAATAACACGGTTGTTAAGTGAAAAATGGCTTCCTCGTTCATTTTGTCAGAAGGCCAGAAAAGGGGATCACATGATCCTAGCACACTGCAACCGTCATAAATATGTGTCAATTGCCAAGCGTCTGAATTTTGATCATGTGACCATGGGGATGTTGCAACGGTTATAAGTGTGAAAAACANCACTCCAGGGGAAGGATACTGCAAAATCTCCATTCCCACCCTATTCCAGGGGATGGATACTGCAAAATCTGCATTCCCACCCTACTCCGGGGGAAGGATACTGCAAAATCTCCATTTCCACCCTATTCCAGGGGAAGGATACTGCAAAATCTACATTCCCACCCTACTGCGGGGGAAGGATACTGCAAAATCCCCATTCCCTCCCCACTTCAGGGAAAGGATACTGCAAAATCTCCATTTCCTTCCCACTCCTGGGGGAAGGTTATTGCAAAATCTCCATTCCTACCCCACTCTGGGGCCAGCCAGAGGTGGTATTTGCCAGTTCTCTGAACTACTCAAAATTTCCGCTACCGGTTCTCCAGAACTTGTCAGAATCTGCTGAATTTCACCCCTGGTGGCATCCAAATCTTAAGACATGACCTTCTAACTCTAAAAGTCTCTTACTTTTCGGCCACATTCATTCTTTCATCCAGAACAAACAACAAACAGCAAAATACAATATCAAATCTGATAAACCCAACCTTCTACTTTCATTTGCATTTTGTAACACTTTAACTCGTGTTTCCCCCCCTTGAAGTATACATTTAGATATATCTTTTTTCATAGTTTAAATGGCACATCAGTTGTCAAAACAGATATTGTCTGAATCAAAAACATCATTCGTGGCAAAACATTCATTTTTAACAAGGGATTTGCCCCAACAGTGTAAAATTTATTTTTTCCCATCTTAACCTATCTTTAATTGCATTGTGTGTTCTAGTTATTTTGAAATAACATACCATTCATATTTGTCACAGTAATACCCAATTATTTTACTTTTTTCTCAATCTTAAAACCATTTTTCTTCATTAGTTCTACTTGATTTTCTAATTTCAATATTTTTGTTAACATCTTTGCCTTCTGATTATTACCCTTAAAACCTGCTAAAAATGTACCAGTCCTTTATTTTTCCCATTAATTTCTACTCCCTCTAGTGGATCTTTTAAAATTACTGGTAACACCAAATCACCTGCAAATGTCCAGAGCTTTTATGTTTCTTTTTAAATCTTAACTCCCATAATTCTCTCGGCCTGTCTTACGTCTCTATTCAGTGCTTCAAGAGCTGAATTATTTCAATATATAATTATTGAGTTGAGGCTATAATGTGCAGAGTGATACAAATATAAACATTATTGACCATGGAGGAATGTTAGGTGAAATTTGACAGAACTGCTAAGATGGACAAATTAATTTGTTTTATTAGAGAAAAGATACTATTTACATTTACTGGTAATTGGAAACCACTTATGGATTTTTTGCATAAAAATAAAAGAACTGAACATATGATTTATGGCTTTGATGATTATACAGGAGAGATTATAGAAAGAAGAGCATTTAGAAAGTATCTTGAGAGAGAGAGATTGAAATATAATTATAATAACCGCTTTGAAGAGGATTGGAAACCACTTTTTGTGTCTTTTTTTTCCTTAACTTTGTTTTCTTGCAATTTTTGCTTTCTCTTTGCTTTCTTTGCTTTCCTTTTTTCTTCTTTCCTTTACATTAGGTTTTTTTTTCTTTTTCAAAAATTTCAATAAAAATCATATTAAAAATTAACTGCAATAGTTCCTCATCAAATGGGCTTCTGATGAACTTTTAGTTGGAGGCAAAAAGAAGCATTCAGATGAGGTACGATTCACCATTCATCTACAACTCCTTAAACCAAATGCATTTATCCTAAAATCACAAAGAGATGGACAAAGCTAAGATATTACAGACGTGCTGTATTTGTGGGCGTCTAAATTTTAAAATGGTCTTAGCCTAGCAAGTTCTGGTTTTAGAATGGCAATGAGACCTCTAAAAATAGTGAATATAAGGTTGTGCTTATTGGTCGAAATTAAAACTTGAGAGGCGCTTTAAGAAGTCTTGCCTAGTAAACAGATATGGAATGATGCATAAAGTAGATCCCATAACTACATAAATAAATAGACAGGAAATTCCTGCCATTTTGTTATAAAAAAGGAAGGAAGGAAGGAAGGAAGGAAAGAGAAGGTATTTTGGCTTCATTTCAAGCAAACTAAGAATTGCACTTTCCATTGAATGATTCCAGAAGAAGGATTTAGCCACAAGGAGTCAGTAAATCAGGTTACACTTAGGATATTTTTGAGGTAGCAGCTTTAACATGGCTGAACATCCATCTCCAGCTTACTTGGCGACAGTGGATCAGTCTGTGGGACTCTGGCATTTTTGGCAATCCTTCATGTCCTCCGAATAGTTTTCTATCTGGATTGTTGTCGTGTGGAAATCAAAAGCTTTTTGCAGTCGGCAGCTGGCTTCCTTCAAGACCGTCTGGGCATCAGCATCTTTATCTGGGACAGAAATGGCAAAGCTAAGGGACAAGTTTTGGAGATGGTGCAGGGGTGAAATTGAGCAGGTTCTAGAGAACCGGTAGCGGAAATTTTGAGTAGTTCAGAGAATTGGCAAATACCACCTCTGGCTGGACCAAGAGTGGGGTGGGAATGGAGATTTTGCAATATCCTTCCCCTGCCATACCCACCAAGCTATGCCCGCCCACAGAACTGGTTAAAAAAAAATGAATTTCACCACTGAGATGGTGGGAAAATTGAAGTCTCCACCCCTTTTAAAAGCCAGTCTTCAAGAATGGATAACGATGGTTCTAATTTAATCTGGGCAGGCTTCAAAATTTATTTGGAAAAACTGATTTAGATCTTAGCACTTCTCTAACGTTCTTAGACAGGGGTATCAAACTCATGGCTCAGGGGGCTGGATCCGCCCCGTAGGGTGCTTAGATCTGGCTCACAGGGTGGCTCTGGAAACAGTGAAAGACCGGCCCATAATGCCTCTGCCAACAAAAACAGAGCTTGGAAGGGCTGCACGCGTCCTTCACAAACTCAGTTTCTGCTGGCAGAGGGTTGCAGGAGGCCATCACAACCTAAAACTAAAGCTTGTTTTCGTTGGCAGAGACTTGGGCCACCACAGGCACCAACACAAATGACGTCGAGCTCGCCACACCCACCCTGGCTACCTCCATCCCAGCGCTCCAACGTCAAACACAATGCAGCCCTCAATGAAATCGAATTTGACACCCCTGTTCTTAGAGAAGAGTTACAGTGGCGCAGTGGTTAGAATGCAGTACTGCAGGCTACTTCTGCTGATTGCCGGCTGACTGCAATTTGGCAGTTTGAATCTCACCAGGCTCAAAGTTGACTCAGCCTTCCATCCTTGGAAAATGTCAAATATTTTTTTTTTTAAAAAGACAGTTGTCTTTAAGTAAAGCTTAATTTTGCTAACTTTAGAGAAACATTTATGGAGTTGTCTTGGCAAACTCTCACCATCATAAAGGTAGTCCTCAACTTACAACCATCTGCTTAGCATCTGTTCAAAGTTATAACGGCACCAAAAAGGAGACTTACAGACAGTTCTAATACAAACGTTGCAGCATCCCCATAGTAACATGATCAAAATTTGAAAACTTCCAGTGGTGGGATTCAAATAATTTAACAAACGGTTCTCTGCCCTAATGAGCAGCTAGGTGGGCATGGCCATGGTGGGGGTAGCCAGGGAGTGTGACAGGCAGCACTCAGGTTCCTGCACACCCCTGGGAGCAAAAACATGCTGCAGGGGCGGTACCCCCCATTTTGGGCCTAGTAGGCCTCCCTGAAGCCTCCTGGGAGCAAAAATGGGCTGCAGGGGGGTGTGCTGCAACCCTGTGCCCCATTTTGGGCTTAGTAGGCCTCCCTGCACTTACCTGGGAGCCCAGGGGGCACTTCTGGAAGGGGCAGGGCAGGAAGGGGCAGGGCCAGCCAGTAATTTAACAACTGGTTCGCCCAAACAGGCTGAATCCCACCACTGGAAGCTTGTATTTATGACAGTTGCAGCATCCTGGGGTCATGTGGCTGCCATTTGAAATCTTTCCAGGGGGCTTCCAAAAGCAGTCAATGAGGGAAGCTGAATCTGCTTAATGACCATGTGATTCACTTAACAATTGCAGTAATTTGGTTTAAAAACCATGACAAGAAAGGTCACAAAAGTGGGCACGATTCAATAACTCAACAATTTGAAGAAATGTGGACTTCAGCATGCTGGCTGGGGGAATTTTGGGAGTTGAAGACCACACATTTTCAAGTTGCTACAGCTGAGAAACACTGAACTATAGTTATTTTGGGTGCCTGGGTGTATTTTCCTTGTTCCAGAATGGTGCAAATTCTAAACTTCTAAACTTGCCCCGTTATTGTGTAACTTACTGATTGCAATATGGACTGACAGCACCGGCTGTGATACTGTTAGAGCCCAGATATGGAGGCTATGAATGGCTTTCACTTCATTTATAGAGAGCAGGATGGTCTTCACATCATTGAAATCTACGCTTTTTGGAGTACCTATAAGACAATAAGAAAGAAAAGGGAGAAATAAGTCAAAACAACAGGATGTGAAGGATCTTGCAAGTTCTACATCTCTCTCACACTCTGAGCTTCCTATCTTGGATGAAGCTTTCAGCATCTGTTTCAGTTATGGATTTATCTGAGCTTCTTTACTTGGAGACTCCCAAAGTTGAATCTTGCCATCTGAGCAGAAGCTGGGCAAGACCTTCAGCTGAGTTTGTAATTTATATAAGGTATTCCTTTTACACTGGAAGGTTTTAAGGTTGGATAACCATTTGTCTGAAGTGGTGGTGGGTTTCCTGCCTAAGCAGGGGGTTGGATTAGAAGACCTCCAAGGTCCTTCCGACTCTGTTATTCTATTCTATTCTATTCTTAGTCTTAGTCTTAGTCTTATTCTTTTTTCTTTAAAATTTTATTTCCATTCCATTCTATACAATCACGTTTACTGTGCATAACCGGGGCATATAACATTGAATAATAAACCCAGCCCTCACT